CGTTACTGGTCAGGTTGTCAAGCGGTATTACCAGTACATGTTCTAGTTGCTATCACTTTCGCAAAGAACTGATAACTTCTGTACATGCCAGAACAGAGATACAATGCGAATTATCCTAGAAAGGTTTTCATAATCAGCCACAACGGAGGTGCACCGTCAGGGAATCGAACCCGGGTTACCCGATGTACAGTTCAACGCTTTACCTTAATTAAGCTGAAATATAACTATTTAAAATGATGAAGAACTTAGATGAATCTCAGACTTCCATAGTATCTCTTTAGTATGTTGTATTGTTTTTGCAATAGATACTAGTCGCTTAATGTTTGCTAATTACTTTGTTTATTTTCTTGCTATCAGAAGTTATCTTCTGCCCTATACCGGCTCAGCTCCGATGTTTGTATTCTAATTAAACCTTAAGTTCTTCAAAGTTGCATGCCTACAGATATATCTTCTACAATGAAAAATAATTATAGTCATTATCATCAACAATAGCATCATCATCGTCGTCATCCATCCATCCATCCATCCATCGGCATCATTACTTTCATTATTACGTCATCATTACTTTTATTATGAATATCATCATCATTATAATAATAATAATCAGCATCGTCGTCATCATATCTGTCTATCTACCAGTCCGTCGTCGTCGTCGTCATCATCTTCATCATCATCATCGGCATGATGACTTTCATTATAACGTCATCATAACTTTAGTTTTCAATATCATCAAAATCAACATCATCATCTTCAACCTCATCATCATCATCATCATCATCAGCATCATCAACATCATCATTTAAAGATATATTAGTACTTGAAACGTATATCTTTTATTTACAACTACCAATTTGTCACATTTATTTGAACAATTCATATGTAGGCATGCATCTTTGGGACAAACTTGTTGTAGAATTCCGAAATTTATTTCTGCATGTTTCTGTTACACATATTTCGGATCAAGAATTGTTATTAAATTTTTGTTTCTTCAGTCGACGTTATTCTGTAAACTTCACTGAAAGACCGGTGAAGACATTTAAACTTCATGAATTCCCGGATCGTCGGATACCCACGGTTGATGATAAATGCTAATGGGTATCCGACGATGGAATTCCCGATTACATATTTCAACTTCGTGAATACACGTTTTCAACATGTGGAATTTACAAATTTACAATTTCAGCTTCATTAATTCACGATTTCAACTTCACGAATTCACGATTTTAACTTAACGGATGCACGATTTCAACTTTATGAATTCAGGATTTCAACTTCACGAAATTAAACTTCACGAATTCATGATTTGAACTTCACGAATTCAAGATTTACACTGAAACCTTGAATTCGTGAATTCATGAGGTCGAAATCGTAAATTTGTAAAGTTGAAATTGTGAATTCACGAAGCTGAAGTCGTGAATTCGTGAATTTGAAATGTCTCCATCGGTCACTCGTAATCAAACCATGAGTGCACTTTTTCTGTTATGTTGTACATAATATTTTATAAAAATTACCTTGAGTGTTGTAATATTACCTTGCCGAACAAAGCTGTTTGATTTATGAATTGTTGCTCTTGCTGTTGTTGTTTGTTTGTTTGTTTGTTGTTATTTGATTGTTTGTTTCCAAGTATGTGGTCATCTAAAAATCTAATTTCATATTCAATCTATGATTCGCAATTGAAATGTGGCCCTATTTAATTAAAGATCTTATTTTTCTGCTTACCTTTTACAAAAACTGTTTACTCTTAAAATATGTAATAATAGTACCATTAGTATCTTGAGAAAAAAAGTAACTGTGCGTGTTAGTCTTAAGATATTACAAAAATGTCGTGACGTGCAACCTCTGAAAAGCAACCCTCTCTTTAACAACAACATCTTAACAAGAACAGTTTCAAGGTCAGCAAGATTTTTTACAATATATTTTTAACCTTCCTTGAGCATCACCTCTCAGCAACGACCAGATTCTTAAACTATCAAATGATGTTGCTCTACTGATGTTATACTGTATATTTTTCATTCGAGACTTTTTATGTATCATTCACGTTTTCATTTTGGTAAAATTTATCATTTTTTATTTTATTTTTTTCCAGAGGGCCTCAGTATTTGAAATGACAGTTTTGACAGCGTTGTATAAAGCCAAAAAGACTCGGGGAATATTTTTTTCAACTGGACATGCTTTGTTTTTTAAAAAATCTTCCTAATGAAAAATAAATGAATTGTAAGATTTTAAGATAAATCTTTTAGTAATATTCATTTACATAATTTTACTTTTGCTAGTCACACATTGCCAAAATTTACAATATGCCTGAATAATGAATTGCCATATACATTTGTACATGTACTTAAATTGTATATAAGATTATTTTTCATTATGTAAAGAATGAGATTGCTAGTTTTCTTATCTTTTTTTTATTTAAAATGACGTTGAATGACGTATTACTGTAACTTTTAAATTGTATTCCATTATGTACACTTACGTATAATACGTAACTGTGACGTAACGTATAA